ACCACATACATACCCTGCGGCAGAATGTACAGAAGAACGAAGAGTACAATATACCACTTTGCCTGGCGTTTGCTATGAGAAAGCCTATGTTTCCATTGAAATTTGAACGGTGCTACTGTCCCTTCAGCGGTGCTAAGTTGACTGTCGGTATATCGAAGTGCTGAAGTGTTTGTACAGTAGGGCTACGATGGCTATCCGAGTACAGACCCAGAGTTCGAAACCTATCCAACTGCAGAGAGGTATAAGACAGGGTGACGTTATATCCCCGAAACACTTCACAGCTGCATTGGAAGACGTTTTCAAGCTACTGGACTGGAAAGGATACGGTATTAACATCAATGGCGAGTACATCACTCTCCTTCGATTTGCCGACTATATAGTCCTTATGGCAGAATCTCTGGAGGATCTTAGCACTATGCTCAATGACCTCAATGGTGTCTTCCAACGGATAGGTCTTAAGATGAACATGGACAAAACAAAAATCATGTTTAATGTCCATGTCACACCTATGCCGGTAGTTGTTGGGAGCACTATGCTCGAAGTTGTTGACGAGTACGTTTACCTGGGACAAATAGTCCGACTAGGTAAGTCCAACTTCGATCGAGAGGTCAATCGAAGGATTCAACTCGGCTGGGCAGCGTTCGGGAAATTACGACACATCTTCTCGTCAGGTATACCTCAATCTCTGAAAACCAAAGTGTATAACCAGTGCGTGTTGCCAGTGATGACTTACGGATCTGAGACGTGGTCCTTCACTGCTGGCCGTACGGGGACGCTCAAGGTCGCTCAGCGAGCTATGGAGAGGGCTATACTCGAAGTTTTTCTGCGTGATAGACTCAGAAATGAGGATATCCGCAGTAAAACCAGAGTGACCGACGTAGCTCAACGGATTAGTAAGCTGAAGTGGCAATGGGACGGCCATTCACACAGCTCGAAGAACCGATAACCGATGTGGAAGAAAGGTTCTCGAGTGGCAGCCTCGTACCGGTAGGCGTAGTGTAGGGCGACTCCCCACTAGATGGAGTGACGACCTGGTAAGACATGCAGGAAGTCGATGGATGTAGGTGGCTCAGGACCGTGCTTTGTGGCATTACTTGGGGGAGGCCTATGTTCAGCAGTGGACTTGTGAAGGGCTGTAATGATGATGATTATGATGATGATAATACAGTTGTCATCACCTATATTATATCTTATTTTTAATGAGTTACAGCTCTAAGGGCCGCGGGTTCGTATCCCGCATGGAACAAATATTTGTATGGCCTACAAGTAATTGTTCCGGATCCGGATTTTTTGTTCTTGTAAAATTATTGTTTGTAAACTGCCCCCACGATACGGTAGAAAATCCTAGTGTGGAGGTAACGTTTTTTTTTTAAAAAGATTTGGACTATACCTTCCTAATTACGTTACTATTACATCGGTTACTTTAGTTAGTTACCTAGTTACTTAGGAAGTCAAAAAAGCAGGATTTATTTTTTGTGCTATGCTATTGGAACAAAATTTACCGTTTCGATTAATGGAGCATTTGAGCGAAATTATCTCAAAATGCTTTCACGAATCTAAAACTGTCAAGTCATTTTCTTGCAAGAGAAATAAAGCAGCAGCGGTAACCTACAATGTTTTAAGCCAGATCTAGAAGCAGAGATGCTTGCTGATTTAAAATTATGTGAAACATTAAAAAAAATCGTACACCAATATTTTTCTTGGCTATAGTTAAGACCACAGATGTCATAACTACATTAGCGCTTGCAGTTGTTACCAATTAATATTCCGAAAATAGCTTCAGGTAAAAACAAAATTTTCAACTTTGGTAGACTTGAATGGAGAACCAGCCCAAGCTTTGTTCGAAGCACTTTCTGAGGCTTTAATTAATGATAAATGACTTTATAGTTCATAAAAGATAGCTTGATCTCTGCGACAGCTGTCAGTAAAAATCACGCCTATGAAGTCCTGAATTTCTTAGTAGTACAGACACGTAGACAGAGAAACCTATAGACTAATGATTATCGTAGCCTCGAGTGAGAAAAGACGATAACATAGTTTTAGGTTATACAATAATCTTTATGACTTTTAAACATATTTAGATAAAAAATTTAATTGTTCGACCGGAACTGAACAAGATTCGCCAATACTAAGCTCACAAAACACTTTTTCTTACTTAAACGAACTTGTAAACTCCTTAGATCACTACGAACTGTAAAATTGTTTAGCACACTTTGCTAAACAATTTTGACAGTGGTTTGCTAAACGAAAAACCGGCACGGAGAAAGGGACAAACAATCACACCGCTCTATCTCATTTCTATGCAAGACGTATGCATAAATCTATCTTTTTCGTGTGCGAATGCGAAAGCGGCGTCAGTTTGTCTATAGGTTTCTCTGTCTACGTACAGACAGTACCTGTCAATGTCATACTTTATGGGCATGCCGACCTAATTAGTGCATGTCCATAAAGTATGACATTGACAGGTACTGTCTGTACTACTAAGAAATTTAGGACTTCATAGGCGTGATTTTACTGACAGCTGTCGCAGAGATCAAGCTATCTTTTATGAACTATAATATCAAAGATTTAATTGGTTTCTGCTCACGCTACTAACGTTAGGTTTGGCGAACAAGGTGGTATTATGGCCAAAATAAGATATGTCTATCCCCACAAAAATAAGGAACAGGTTCTTAAACAAACATGTATCCCCTTTAATCACAACATAAATAGGTATAAAAGTAAAAGAAAACGGAGACTGTATCTCTTTTAAACCAACGAAAGAAATGATTAAAAAGATGTCGTTGAAATCATTATATAACGAAAATGAAGAGTATGAAGCAAATGTTGAATAATAGTAGGTATCGTATAGTATAGTATGCTTACTATACTAATACTAAATTATAGTGTTATAAAGTTCATAAATGAAAAAAAAAAGTGAAATATTGTAGAATAAAGAATTTCCTTTGAATGCATAATATTTTATTTATTCATCCCTTTATTCAATTTATTCATTCCTTTGAATACATATATTTACCCGTCTACGTGCATGCAATAATATGATGGCATATTTATGGCATTTTCTGGAGTCAGTTCGGCAGATTTTGGCAGATTTTTTTCCAATGTGTGGCAGATTTGCTATTTTTGAGATGGTCACACTCAGTGTTGCCGTTTTAGCGACTTTCTCGCCAGATCTAGCGGATTTTAGCAGTGTTTAGCGGATAAAAAAATCGTTTTAGCGAGAAATAATTATTTAGCGACTTCTAGCGACATTTGGACTTTTGAGATGGAGACTTTTTTTACAAAGTAATTAATTTCAAATAAGTCATTTATCATATGTCCAATTTTGTAATCTACCATTGGTAACACTGTATATATAATATAATTTCACGGGAATTCCCGAACATAAACTAACAATTCAATGTCGTTCATTCACTTTCATCTGTTTTGACCTGAGACCATGTTCTAAGGTTTCGACATACAAAAACGCAGTAGGAGTAAACATATTCAAAGATTTATTTAATTTTGCAATAGTAATATTATCACTACCGCACTCAAATGCAGACTTTGAACGCGTATTTGGTGCTATGAATGTAGTTAAAAGCAAACTGCGAAACAAGCTATCACAAAAAATTTTAAATACCATTCTTCTGTTTAGAAATCAGTTAGGGATCAAAAAAAGAACTGCGCAACGTATGATATTTCCGAAGATGTCAACCAAGTCGGTAAAGGCAAACCAAAGATGGGAACTGGAGACATTGGCGAAACTTCAACTTCCGCTGAAGTTCTTTTTGAAGATCTGGATCCATACTTCGCTATTAATTTTGAAATTTAGGTACAAGAACGTACTGAGCTAATTGTTTTATTTTTAATAAGATGTTGACTAATTTTTAAACGTTTATTTTTTTACAATATTTTTTTTTATTTTGTGCATGAATAATTTTTGTTTTAGTTGTCATGTCATTCACCTACTTTTACTCATTACCTTATATATAATTGATTTACATGAAATAGAGTCCGCTCTTTTTAAGGATTTTTTGAATTTATAGATTTAGATTTTCGGTATTAATTGTATACCATTTGGCAAGATTTTTCAGTAAGCCATTGGGTACCACAAAAATGTACCTAGGGACATCTAGAGGATTTTAAGGAGAAGAAAAATCCTGTTTCTGGCGGATTTTTTTCTGTTAGTCTAGGGACTTTAAAATTTGTAGAACGGCAACCCTGGTCACACTGCAATAGATGATAATCAATCTTCTGTCATTGTGGAATACTAATAATTAACATAGTAAGTATAAAATACACGTTTTATATCCAAATTAACTAGAATAGAGTTGTTTTATGAAAATTCCACGGAGATGTCGATTAAATCGTACGACACCCAAAAATCTTAATCTTTATTCTAACAGTTTGCGTATTACTAAAAACAAACACCAAAGACCTTTCTTGTCAAGAACAATCTATTCGCTTTTGGATTCGCTTACTCTTTAAATATAGTCTAAAAATGTAATGTTTTGCATATTTGTTAGGTCTTTAACTGCAAATTACATTCCGAGGAAAATAACTTATCACTTTCATTATTTTCAGGATTGTGTAGCCCAATACTTAGCATAGTTAGGTATAGGGTTCTTGTTTTCAATAACATCATATGTTTTTAACTGGTATTAAGGTTTTCCAGTGCCTACCATAGTGAATCTGAATTATCTTTAAGTTTAGTGAGAAAAGTGAGTTTACTGAATGTAGTTCAATTTGCTAAGATGGTAGATTGTATGTGATTGTGTAAAAGACTTGGTATAATTTATCATTATTTTATTTTAGTTCATTCCTTCATAATATAAACCAGTATTCGTCAGTTAAGAATATGGTGTGTACAGTTTTTTACTACCCAATTTTTTTAAACACACTTAAATACTTACATGGTCAGCTAAAAGGTTACATAGACAAAATATTGTAGAGTTGAGTGCTATTGCAGTGATATTCAGACCATTACTAAATAATTGATTTCTTTGTTACTTAATAAGATGTCTGGAGGCCATAAACATCGTTACAAGAACGCTGGACTGAGTGCAGATGAGCTACGCCGACGCCGTGAAGAAGAAGGCGTACAATTACGTAAGCAAAAAAGAGAGCAACAGCTTTTCAAACGAAGAAATGTAAATTTACCACAGCCAAATGCACCTGATATTGCATTACAGGTATAGACTTTCATTTATAAATTTCATCTTTATCATTAGATTGCTTTTTTTATTCAGGAACATGTTTTGAAAATGTGTCAAAAAATGTTATTGAATTTTTATCATGGACATTTTATCTGTATTAACAATCATATTAGATGAAAAGGACTTATTTGAATGCATTAAATTTATTGCTATTATTTATTGTTGTGAGTTGAAAAATATATCTCTTTACAAGTCTACTGCTGAACATGGCCTATGTTCAGCTAAGTAATAACTCAAAGCACAGTCCTGAGCCATTTGTATCCATTGATTTCCTGTATGTCTTACCAGAAATAACTTAAGCTAAGCTATTTATAAACTCATTGGAGCAAAACCTCTTACAAATAAGATTCACAGATTGGTTAGTGTATATTTGGTGAGAATTTACTACTGTTGTAGACCTTATAATCTTAATTAAAATATAACATATTGCACCTGCTATTTAATAGTGTGTAACAAAAAACATTGTAAAAGTATAAGTAAAACTATATCAATCAATCAAATTATGTATTTTTATGTTAGTTACATGCAGTGCTATGATCAGCATCCTCAATGTCCTTCAGTTGCACTTCATAATTGCCGAGATGATATTAGTAAATATATGAAATACTATTTTTAAGTCCATGTGCATAATCATGGAGAAGTTTTTTGTGCATTCATGGACTTGGAAAAGGCTTATGAGCTTATGACAGAGTGGAGTGTTATGGCAAACACTGAACTCATTTGGGTTGAGTGCTAGGTTGGTACAGGCAAGTGTCTCTATAGGGACTCTAGTGTAGGGATGATCGATGTTGCAAAAACATCAATGATGACATCGATGTTGATATCGATAGCTTGATATCGATGTTCGATGTTTATCCTACTTAAAATATCGATGTTGGCCATTATTGATGTTATTGCACATGAACCTACTTAGTAGGTTAAAATTAGATGACCGAAAAATTAATAGTGTAGTTTATGGTTTATTATTAACGAAATGTAAGAAATTTATAAAACATTTAGTGCTAAATAGTAATTTAAAAAATGGGCCAAACTTAACAAATGCTTAGTTCATTTGTTATGTTTTTTGCCGATAATGATTAATGTTATTTTTTTGATCTTCAAATGTTCCTATACAACCAAAAATCTACGAAAAAATTTACTATGAGACCTAATTTACGATTTAGACATAGGTTCTATATTAACCACTCCTATCGCGAATTAAAAAAAATATGATTATAGAGGGCGAATTAGCAAACTTCACAAAAACAAAATATTAGACTTTTCCGTCACATTTGTTCGCTATTTTTTCTCAGACAGCTCAAACATTAAGTATCCACATCCGTTTATAAAATGCACTATGCAGTGAATTTTTCTACACACAATCGCCCAGTGATTTATTTTCATAAACTTCAAGCAATAATAAACTCATTAGCTCAAAAAACAGCAAAATATAATTGGATTGTGTATATTCATATTGTTTCAAAATTATGTGTGTATAGACAGCAAGAGAAAAAACATTATTTGTATATCAATTTATGTAGAATAGTTATTAGGCGACAGTGATACCACAGAATAACAAAACGAAAGCAGTGACAACTGTGACATTACGGTTCACACTTGAGAGGGAGTTTGACACAACATAATGATATCTTTCAGGTGACTGATGCCTTTAAGAATCCTAAATTATTCAAAATTTTAAACCTTTAATAGGAATGAAATATTTAGTTGATATTGATTTCGTGGGTTCGCATTGTTCACAAGTTCTTATTAATCAATTATTGGCTCATTGACATCGATGTTTCGATGTTTGACATGTGGTATCATTGATGTTACGATGTTTAGCATGTGGCAACATCGATGTTAAAACATCGATGTTTTGATTTCTGACATAGATGGTCATCGAACATCCCTACTCTAGTGCTTGTGTTAGGATCAATGGGGTCTACTTAGACTGGTTTGGCATCCATAAAGGTGTCAGACAGGGCTGTGTGGCTTCCCCGTGGTTGTTTAACCTATTTATTGACAGTTATTTGTAAAATTTGTGTTCATGGAGAAGTTTTTTGTGCATTCATGGACTTGGAAAAGGCTTATGAACTTATGGCAGAGTGAGAAATCACTTATCGACTTCTGTTTTTTAAAATTTGTCTTTTATTGCCCATCCAATTAGCGCAGTAGTCCATCTTGAAGCGGTACCTGCCCTTTGATCTATCTGTTAGGCGTGTGCGAATCTGTGATTACTTCAAAGAATATGTAATCTCAAAATAATTTTTTCCGATTACTCATGGTCAAGACTAACGGATCAAATCATCATTGGTAACAATCCAAACCAAGAAAATAATCAAATAACGAATTTCACTTCATGAGATTATATGCTACAAAAAACTCCAATTCCAGTGTATAAAAACGTCTATTTGTATTTTTAGTGACAAGACAAATAGTGCTTTTCATTCTCATGACATGAAAAGGTTGATAAACTCTGATTATTTATTGAAGGCGCCGGTGGGCAGCTTCAGCATGTAACCTTAGAATCAGATTTTTTTTTGAATCTCAGATATCCACCGGCCATTCTAAGTATAGCTAGATTATTGTAAAATGTAGCATAAAAAATACTTGGGTAAGGCCGTAGATTTTGCCACTTTTTGAAGAAAAAATATTTTCATATTGAAATTTTCGTATTGGGTAAATTAGTAGGTAATGAAGGTATTTTAATTAGATTATATATCTCTTAAACTCTTATATCATATTCTTAAAATTATGTAAATTGTACATTAAAAAAAATACAGCGAGTTAAGTTCGTCCAGACCCCCGAATTTGACGAAAAACATGTTTTTTTTCCACTTAAACAATAAAACTTATATTTTTTGTAATGAACATTTAATTAATTTGTGACTATCTAAAATGTCTCAATGTTAAGCTACTACATCGTGCTTTGCGTGTCTTTAAAAACGCATTTTTTTTATTACATTAAACCCTATTCCTTCTATTTATATTTATAATCAAAATAATATACTTAATTATTGTCTTGTCACTTATCTAAAATTCTCATGTTAAACTACTACATCGTGCTTTGCTTGTCTTTAAAAACGCATTTTTTTATAGATTTATTACTAATTAAACTTAAGTTCCATATTTTCGCTTCTATGTTACTATTTTATATGTTATCAAAATTTTCCCTTAAAAAGCATAGCAGCATAGTTAGGTAGTGCTTTGTAATTACACAGGCAACACCAAGTATTCAGACATCGCAATAAAAAAAAAAAGAAAACATGCCATCTTCTCGTTTCTGGAGTCTGTCAAAGGTGCACGCGTGTTTTTCGTCAGTGAGTTTTAATTGTGAATTTTGACGATTTCAACGGTAAATGTCAGTTTTTATTGTACACATCTTATACAACACGTAACATAATTAACGCACTTTGAGAAAGTAGTTTGTTCAGAATCATTTACTGAATCGATTCCTATCATTTTTAATATAGGTAATTTGTTATCCCAAAAATAATTAAAACTACGTAAATGACAGTCACACTAAATCTGTACAGTCAAAACAAACTGAAATGGACCGTAACTTAAGGCAATAAGACTTTTAAGAGTGCAGTATTATTTGTATTATTACTAATTCTGTAATACAATAAAAATAAATAAAAAGAACTTTATTTCAAGCACGTTAAAGTCTTTGCGTTCGTGGATTTGTACTGAGACCACAACATTCTTCCGGAATTTGTATAACTAATTTGATAAATTAATCAGTGCATAAAAATGTTAAACTAAAAATTCAGTGTATGTATTATGATTATAACATAATATACTAATTGGGGTGTCTGAGGGTGTGCGTTAATTACGTTACATATTGTATAGTATTATGCACGAATAACTAATATGTGTCATGGTATTGTATCTATGTTTAAAATTCATCTCGATCTCGAGTTATGTCTATTTATAACCTTGAAAAATCGCGCTTTAACGTTACTTCTATGCAACTTTGATGTTATTGGTAACGTTGATAGTATGTTTCGTAACGTTTTACTGTTGTAAAGGTTTGTACATATTGTAACTTATTAAATATACTTTTTCGCTGGATTATAAAAAATATCAACCTTTTTCTAAAAGTTTTGATCGTGTAGAGTAATGAAAAACCCGCTTAGTATTTTTTATTTGATGTGCAGAGGGTTACTTCTATGTTACCATAACATAGTGACTATGTTACTGTATGTTACTAAGTGGCAAAATCTACGGCCTTACCAATTTGGTCTTTTTATTGTTTTTTGACTGAGAAAACTATCTTTGAAAGTGAGACGCCTAGGATGCCTCGGACGCCTCGGCATTTGAATAAAGATTGTCAGGGCGCTAACGGGCACCAAAGGCATTGAATTAGTTAACAAAATATGCAAAATTTTGAGTTGATAAGTGTTACTTATTAGGCGCGATATATTGTATACTTCGGTTATAATAAATATAAGCATTGCACACATGTATTTATCATCAGCTTCCAACAATGTAATGTGATTATAATAAGTAGCAAACTGGCCACAATCATCTGTAACACGAGATTTTACAAGTTTAGTTGAAAACTTGTTTTTGGGTGTAAACAAGGAGTAAGATTGAACCAAAACCAAAAAAAAATCTTATTAAAATAATACTGACAGACTGAATCAATTGTTAATCTTCAAGACAAATTTTAGTATAAATATCTACTTGAACCAATTGTCATTGTATATGATTTTAGCCCAGGAAAATTTACAGCTCAGAGCTTGCATTATAGAGTTCAGAGCTTACATTATACAGCTCAGAGTTGTAAATTTTCCTGGGCTAGAATATAAAATATACCAAAATGTGTGTTATACAAAAAATTCAATGTTATTGTTATTTTATTAATACTGCATCAAATCCTTCCTCTTATATGAATAAAAATTAACTGTTTCAGGATGATATTAACATTTCTACATCTGATGACATCACACCACAAATGGTGGCTGCATTATACAGTGACAATCCTCAAGACCAAGTTATGGCCACTCAGAAATTTCGAAAGCTTTTGAGTCGAGAACCAAATCCACCTATTGATGAAGTAATACGAACTGGAATCGTACCTAAATTTGTTGAATTTTTATCTAATACTGCGAATCCAACATTACAGGTAAACTTAATTAACATTACAAAATTTTATCAAAAGTATTACTTTAAAATGTTATTATGCTGTTTATGATCCTAAAATCCAACATGCAAGTTTATTCAAACTTAATAAAATTGATAGTGCAATGTGATATGGTTAATAAGCGCAGACCAAAAAACATAGGTGAATATGCCCTCTGTTACTACAAGTGTCATATCATAGGTATGTAAATGGAAATTATTCTCATTAGTTAAGATGGGGCAGTAGTAGATGGCGGTATTATCATCTTCTAATTATGGCAGATACGAAATAACCTTCTCGCATTTTGTAAGATCTATTTAAACTCTATCGCACAATGCCACAATTCCAATGGAAGTTAGCCCTTACAGGCCCTTTTTCTATCAGGGGAGGATTGGAGCTGGAGTTCTCTATTCATTTCTCATGTAGAGATTTGAAAAGTATTTTTATCTTTTGAACCTATAATTACACTTAATTAACCCAAATCTTGAGATGCATTTGCTTACATTAACCAAAGTTCTTCGCAGATTAAATATATAACATTCCTAGAGATAAATATGCATGAGGTCGTCTCAGATTGTGATGCTAAGCAAGTTAGCGGCAAAATCGTAGCTAGCGTCCGAGGTAGGATTCGCTTAAATTTGAATAACACTTAAATGTAGGATTTGAATAAAACTAGTTTTGCGGATTTTACCTACCTAGTTTTATCCTTAGTACTAATTTTTAGTTCTCGACGTTTCATGTGCTTTACAGCACCAATGATCACGGGGGACTGACATCAATCACCTCATGTGGAATCATACTGAAAATCCGTAAAAGTAGTTTTATTGAATGTGTGGTGTTCGCGTAAATATAAGTATATAAATGATGTAATGGTCAGTTCGAGGCGGCGTGGGCGTTGACGAACATCGCGTCGGGCACTTCGGAGCAGACGCGCGTGGTGGTAGAGTGCGGCGCCGTGGCCGCGCTGGTGGCGCTCGTGGGCAGCGCTGGCGACGACGTGCGCGAGCAGGCCGTGTGGGCGCTCGGCAACGTGGCCGGCGACTCGCCGCGCTGCCGCGACGCCGTCCTGGCCGCCGGCGTGCTGCCGCCGCTCATACAGTGAGTGCGAGTGCTAGGGCTCATACATAATATTGCTGTCGCGTTCATGACTACTAGGATTAACTATAGTTCTTTTAAGATAAATTATAACAAACGAGCACACACTATCTGATGGCAAGTGAATGCTGTCTGGTTTCTGATAATGTAAATTTTTTTGTAAACTAGAGTGACAAACGAGCACGCAGTCCACCTGATGGTAAGTGGTTGCTGCGGTCCATAGACATCCATATCTATCCTCAATTACAAATCAAAGCATTGTCACCCGTGAGGACTAAGATGGAATGCCTCGTTTCCAGTAAAAAGGGTCTCCGGTTCTCTACACTCACCATACGAAACACAGCAGAATTAAGCTGCTATTTCATGGTGGTATTCTGTGAGAGCGTGGTCCTTCCCCGGTCGAGCTGACCCATTCGTGCTACAACTATACTACTAATATAACTGCAGCATGGCTCTACCACATATAATGCTGTTAGTTGCTGAATACTCTAGCAATACCCCACCTATATCTAACTTTGATTAAGAATAAAAATTCAGTTATGTTGCCACACCTGCGGACTAGGATGAATGCCTCGTTATCAATCAAAATGGTCTGCAGTTCTTTAAAGTCATTGAGAAAAACACAACAGCATTATATTCCTCTTTCACATTGGTTATCTGTAAGAGCAACATCTCTTTCACGGTCTAGCTGTTTGACAATTATACTTTCTTTTTCAATATTAAAATGTTATATTGTTTAAAGAAAAAGACAGAATAAGGAAAAGTCAGTTCTACATTACAACTTCGTAAAGTCGCAACAAATCTAGCCATTACTGCTCGCCTTGTCAAGTTAAAGAATTCATAATCTGATTCCGGTGTATGTATGCTCGCGTGTTCAAATGTATGAAAAACGCGCGTTATGAAATCATTGTCTTAAATATTTCGATCCGGAATTCAGAACGTTCGTCAGAGTCATTTTTACAGATCGATCTGAGAAAATAAAAATCTGAAAAAATATGAATTTGTGTGTGTGTGTTCCGTTTCCGGTGATCGCAAAGTAAACACGCACGTCAAAGTCCTCCGCAAAATAATAACTGTTTTTAGTGTAAAGAGTGTGAAATAGAAGTGTCACAACACGAAATTCACAAAAAAAGGCAATAACAAACGATATAAACAAGTGAACAAAACATAAAACAATTTTCTGGGAATAAAAAGTGCAATAAAAGCTAGTGAACAACATAACCAAAAATTAAAGAGTGAACGACATAACAGTGCTACCAACATAACCAACAAATTATCAAATAGTAGTAACTGTCATTTTGACACTGACATAGTAAGTGTTGCCAGCAACAAGAATATAAACTACCATTCTTCCAGTGTTGTCAGTAAATAATCCAAAAAATGGACAAAAGTATGGAATTATTGTTGTTAAAACTAGATGAGAAATTGAACCAACAAACCAAACTCATAACAGAGTTGGTGACGTATAATGTTATGGAGGCATTAGACGAGAAATTAAAAATAATAACTGAAGAAAACATTAGATTAAAAGACAAAATAGTGACATTGGAACAGAAACTTATGATCATGGAAAGAGAGAAAAGAAAATACAACTTAGTCTTCTTTGGCATTGAGGAGAATGGAAAATCAGAAGCGGAATTAGTAGACTACATCAAGGACACAATCATAGAAACAGGCACACATTTAAATAGCCAGGAAATCAGCAATATATATAGAATTGGCAAGAATAAAAATGTTAAAAACCGCCCTGTCGTCATCTCCGTCACAACGCTGTGGAAAAAACACATGATTTTGAAAAACAAGTCAAAGCTGTCGCCAGGCATCTATATAAAAGAAGATTATTCTAAAGAAGTGTTAGAAAAGCGCAAGCAATTACAAGCCCAAGTGAAAGAGGAAAGAAAGAAAGGAAACATAGCTTTTCTAAAACATGACAAAATAATAGTAAAGAAATCATCAGATATAAATAGAGAAAAAAGAAAAAGAGAAGGCCATGACTCACCTAACTCGGCACCCCAGAAAAAAATCGACTTAAAAGACAATCCAGCTTCTACATCAGCCAAGGGAAAAGAAATCCTAAAACCCAAAATACTTAATTACGTTGAAAGAGGAAGATCTGCTTCAATGTCAGAGATTCCAAAAAACCTGTAATGACCACCGGTACTCGAAATCAACTTAGAACAATTAATACCAAAAGTACACATACAACAATTGAAAAATGCACCCCAAGCCGGTTGGTCACCGTGGGGAAAGAAGACCACTACCCTTCAGCAAATGAAACACCTAAAGATAAAGAAAAAGAGAAACCTAACAATAACAATATACACATAGCCACCCTAAACACACTTTCATTGAGGACTGCAGAAAAACTTCTCGAATTAGAGATAACTTTGGGTAATATTAAATGGGATATTCTTGGTATGAGTGAAGTAAGACGAATAGGAAACTGCATTGAAGAGTATGACGACTACATTCTGTACTATATCGGTGAAACCAAGGGTCAGTATGGAGTGGGATTTATGGTGAAAAAACACCTAAAGAAACAAATCATAGAGTTCAAAGGCATATCTGAAAGAATCGCTGTACTAAATATACAGCTACAAGGCTATAAAAACAAGTGGACTATAGTACAGATATACGCGCCAACAGAAGCAGCAGACGAAAAAAATAAAAGATGATTTCTACAACCAACTTACAACTACTCTAGAAACTGCCCATAAAAAACGTTATCGTCATGGGAGACTTTAATGGGAAAATAGGTAAACAAAAACATGGTGAAGAGACAGTAATAGGAAATTATGGCATAGGAAAAAGAAGCAAGAACGGCAAGAGAATTGTAAATTTGGCCCTGGAGAATAACTTAACCATACTAAATAGCGTTTTCAAGAAAAGAAAAACCAAGAAGTGGACTTGGATATCGCCAGATGGAAATTACCGAAATGAAATTGACTTTATAACTAGTAATCAACCCAAGTTTTTCCGAGATGTTAGTGTAATAAATAATTTCAATTTCAATAGCAACCATCGTATGGTCAGAGCAGTACTATTTCACAAACAACAAAAGAAACAACGAAAACACTTTCACCAGAGTGAAAATACCTGCAAGACTGATACAACGTCTCAAAGCAAAGTAACAACCGGAGAAATAGACAAAACACAAGAAATTTACAACATAGAAACAAACGATATTTATAGAAAGAAGAACAATTTAGTAAAAAACAAAAATACACTGAGCTCGAAAACAATAGATCTCATTCAAAAACGGAAAGAACTGCTTAAAAATAGAAGAAATAAAGCAACATTACATGAAATTACTGAACTAAGTAAGGAGATAAGTTGCAACATAAAACAAGATAAGTCGAATAAAAGAATGAAATGTATCCAAAAACATATTACAAAAACAGGAGGTATCAATAAAGCACTTAAAGAATTAAAAGAAACAACGCTATGGGTCCCGAAAATGAAAAGCAAAAATAATAAGGACGAAACAAGAAGACAGCCAATTTTAAAGATAGCGACAGACTATTATCGGAAATTATACTCTACCGAAAATACCTTAAAATTAAACATAAACCTTGAAGACAAAACAGAAGAAATCCCTCCGATTCTTGAAAGGGAAGTTCAGCATGCGATAGAAACACAGAAAAACGATAAAGCTCCTGGACCTGATCATATAACCAATGAGATGATGAAAGCTACATTGCCAGAAACAACAAAAAAACTAACTAACTTGTTTAATCTTATCCTAAACACAGAATCCATACCTTCACAGTGGACAATAAGCACTATAATACTCATCTTTAAGAAAGGAGATAGATCAGACATAGGAAACTATCGCCCAATAAGTCTCATGTCCAACATATACAAGGTGTTCTCAAAAATAATACTGAAGCGCATTAGCAAAAAACTTGAAGAACAACAATCAAGAGAACAGGCTGGATTCCGATCGGGCTTTGCAACAATTGACCACATACATGTGGTAAAACAGCTCATTGAAAAATGTCAAGAATACGATTATCCATTATACATGGCATTTGTGGACTATAACAAAGCGTTTGACAGCCTGGAACATCAGTACATTTGGGAAGCCCTGAAAAATCAAGGAATAGAAATTAAATATATAAGGATAATAAAAAATGTGTATTCCAACAGCAAAGCACGAATCAAACTAGAAGCAGAAGGGGAAATATTTCCAATACACAGGGGAGTGAGGCAGGGAGACCCACTCTCACCAAAACTTTTTTCATCCGTACTAGAGGAAGTCATCAGGAAAATGGAATGGGACAACATAGGGATTAACATAAATGGAACACATTTAAATCATTTAAGATTTGCAGATGACATAATACTTATAACAGATAACTCGGAAAGCCTTAAAAACATGCTCCAAGATTTATCATGTGAAAGTAAAAAGGTGGGACTAACAATAAACAAAACAAAGACAAAGATAATAACAAACAGATCCCAAATAAGTATCTCAGTAGATGAGGAGGAAATAGATTATGTAAATTCCTATGTATATTTAGGCCAACTTATCGCCTTCAACAACCAAATGGATTCAGAGATTGAAAGACGGGTAGCCAATGCCTGGAAGAGATTTTGGTCCCTCAAAGAAGTGCTAAAAGGCAATCAATATAATATTGCAATGAAAAGGAAAGTATACAATACATGCATATTACCAATCCTTACCTATGGGTGCCAGACCTGGGCAAACACACAAAAACAAAACCAAAAACTGATTACATGCCAAAGAGCCATGGAAAGGAGTATACTGGGTTACACAAAAAGAGACAGAAAGAGAGCTGTAGATCTAAGACAAATTACCAAAATTGATGATATAATAGTTAAAATTAGAAAACTCAAATGGAGATGGGTAGGCCACATGATGAGAGAGAATAGAAATAAATGGACGAAAGATATAACAGAATGGACCCCTAGATACCAAACAAAAAGAAAACGAGGAAGACAAAGAAAACGTTGGTCTGATGACTTAAAAAAAGCATGCG